AGGCGGGACTGTTGACGCAAACCTCCGTTGCTGGTGTAGCCACCGACGGCCGCTGAACGGCGGCTCGTTACAACGTTCAATTCCTGTGTGTCTGAGGAACACGCCTCTACACAGTGTCGTTTAGGTGGCAGAAAGAAAGCCACACAAGGTATCTACTACTTTGTCACGGGGAGATTTCAGAATGGCCGAGGTTAGTGTGGTCATTCTGCCTTCTTTACGTACGCATTACTCGACGGTCACCAATTGCAGGCATCTTAGTCGCCTTTAAACGCAGTCAGCATCGAAATAAAGTTATCGATCGATAGGGGGTCGGACAGTCATTTCATCGCCTCCCATATTTCTGAGATCAAGCGAGACTGGGGAGGCGCGTCGACATTGTGGAAAAGAAACTCGGGGGTCAGAAATAAACCATCCGCCATGACCTATGATCAAGCAACTCCTTACATTTTCTTACTCTTCACATGGAAATCATTCGCTAGATATACTCTTGCAGTCTGGGATCTCGTTGACAACGACTAAGAATCGTAAAGCGCATCAACAATCTAGTGGAAGTCGGATAACGAACTGGTTATTTCACTAGATTCTCAGAGCAACAGACGAAGACTCCGAACACTCTAAGTTAGAATAAACCAAAAGGTTGACCTTATTGATGTTTCAACGTACTCCGAATGTTTCCATTGCAATAGCAATGTGCAAAAGATGATGACGACTTCGCTCTATCAGAAAGAGATAGGCCGTCTTTATGAGTAGGACTTCTGATTATCATGATTAGACCGTTTTTCTAACCGAAAAGTACTTCCATGCAACGATAGGGACACTGGAATGGTCATTTCAGCCTAATTTTCCGTCACCAGTCAGTAACGACTCAACTCCCAGCTGAACATCCCAGGCCTGAACCCTAGTGTCGGTTGATCATCAAGCGAGCACATCAGAGAGGGGGGCCTGGCCACCAGTGACACTTCCTTCAACACGTTTGTAGACTTATTTGTCTATAGCAAACGGTTTCTCTGAAGCCATGGACTTTTTGTTTGCATGATTTCCTTAGGGCGTTGCAAGGAACTTTATTAGAAAACTCAGTTATTCGATAGCATGGAGGACATAAACCCTCTTACGAACGGGAATATCCTAAGACTGAAAGTCCTCTTCGTAAATCATCTTTCTTCCTTTAGTATTTTGTAGTCAGCATGTGCTGCTGCGTGAACACATACATCGATGTTAGCTTAACAGGATGTACTGAAAGTACCATAATTCCTTAGAAGGGGATAACTTTTAAAGTAATGTTTAGTGCTCTTTATTCAGTGTCAACTTTTGAGAAAATGGAAGTTTTTTTAAAAAGTCATTTGTTTAACTGTCACTAGACTTCATGGTGTTCCTACTCCTCTTTCAGACCTTTGGTGTCTGGTTAACGCCCAGTAAAACATCCTATTGCTTAATCGTGTGCTGCCTTTCACAAAGCTGGCACGATGTTAAAATTATCTCCGGTTTTCAAACCTTTCCTGTCAGTTGCATTTTTTATGCGACCATTCTTAGCTTACGGTAAGAGCTGTAATCGATAAAATTTTAATAGCATATTCAGTTAACGTTGACACTCTGTCGTCTCTAAGTGAAGCACGATGATGCAGCTCTCGCTACGCACGCGACGTTTGGAAACCCTAAAAGCGTCTTTATGCAGACCCAGACCCACACTTATAAATTATTTGCGTTCAGGTCACCTTTCTTCATCAACTCAATTTATTCGGTCTAATGAGTATAAAACTCCCTCTTTTACCTGTCTTGCCGATTAAGCGATAGATATTCATCGTGTTAAATATGACCTCGGTCCAAAGATCAAGTTAAGAAGGGAGCTCAGCAGTGCCACGGAAAATTATTCGGTTGTTGAGTAGTAAAAATCAACCCAACTAAAAAGGATATACTGAAAATAGCATCATTCCTTGGAATGCGGAACATTTAAAGTAATACTTATTGCCCTTTATTCAGTGTCGAGCCCTAAGAAAAGGAAAGTTTTTTTAAAGTCATCTGTTTAACTGTCACTGGACTCCATGGTGTTTCTACTCCTCTTTCAGTCCTGTCGTCTCCTGTTTGTCCTCGGTAAAACATCATATTACTTACTCGTGCGCTGTCCTTTATATATCCGGCACAAGGTTAAGATGACTCCGATTTCCAAACAGGCAAAAGGTCCAAACTTTTTTCGTCTGTTACATATTTATCATATCATTCTTAGCTTACCGTA